GTCTACCAGATCCCTGTACCTACCACCGGCATTAAGGCCGATTGTACCCTCTAGTTTTAAACTCACTTCCTTTTAGACAGGAAATCTAGAATCTTCCTAGGCATTTCCCGGTGCATCTTCATTCTCCGAAGGAACCCTGTGCACTTACCTGTCGTATGCCACACAGTACATGCAGCTCAGTTGCAAAATGGGTCCTTAACATGTACGCATTTCTAGAAATCTGATTATGAGAATGATGCTAGAGAGTCTGCCTTTAAGCTGTATGCTATCCTCTTTCAATGCCCTGGCTTTTACTACTAAAAGTGTAGAGGAAGCTAAAAGGGAATTAGCAATACCTGTATAAAGATAAAGCAGGTAATAATCCCGTTTAGAAAAGCAATTTTATGTCAAATGTAAGTAAATAAATAGGATCATAAACACTGCTTTACGTACGCATATTCAGAATGATGTAAATAATTATTAAGTATGAGTCATTGTGTATAGTGTACTCGAGTGTACTCAATGAATAGTACTTAACCAACAGGTTCTACGCTAACTTCACACTACAAAAACACGGAAATAAAATCAACCCGGCAACGTTTAAAAATGGCCACCCGAATGACTATTCCTACCATATATGTATTATACATATATGATTCCTACCCTCCCAACAATGAACAAAGAAAACCAGGAAGGAGCTCACAGGTTGTATACAAGGGAGAGTGAGACGGAAGTAGGCCATTTGCAAACATATGACTCTTTTTGTAGTGGCTTTTGCAAAGACAAAATAATGGTTAGTTGTGCTTGTGGTTGTTCCAAATCGGAAAAAAATAAAAGTTTGGGAATTACATTTCATGTGTAAGTATTGATACCACTATTATTTTTATATAGTACATGTAAATTTACAAATGTTTTATCGGAATGTAGTTTGAGGTTAGTTAAACAAAAGTCATAGGCGGAGTAGACACATGGGGGTTTAGATTGTTTTCGTGTAAAATTCTTTATAATTTCTACAACTGTAAGGTAAGTACGCCACTGGAACAGGGAACTACTGCCTGCCATTTGCAAAAGCCATTGCGGTCTCGGGTAAATTGTTGATGTTCTCCTTCCTGGTATTCTTTATTCATTGCCTCCCAAACTTAACAAGATACCGCTTAAATTTGAAAAGTGGCACGTGATAAGGCACCAGTGCCCCCTTACGTTAGTTGTAAACAACGCTTTGACCTGAAGCACAGTAGGGAAGGAACGTTAAATAAAACACTGAAATTGTGAAAAGTTTGTTTAATAATGATCGTAATTATTATGATTGTAAAAGCTCGGAAATTTAGATCGAAATAAATTACATTGCAAAAATAAACTTTGAAAATGGTAGTTCACCGAATCGAAATAGAAATAGGCTGGAAAAAAGAACTTACCAATAAAAAACCAGCCGTCAAATTAATATCAAATTGTGTTGTAAAATTAATTGTTTGTAATGATGTGAATGCGTAACATGAAATTATAACATCACAAAAAGTAGCAGGTAGACTTCAAGAGGTAACATTCGGTTAAAAACAAGTTTTGGGAATTATGGATCAGGTGAGCAGGTACCAAGATTTTAAGAAAGGGTGAAATACCCAGGATGGGACTCATCTTTGGTGCCATAAAGTCATTTTGTTAAAAGCAAGTTGGAAAATTACATAGCCTTGTAGGCAAATTTAACTAAAAACAAGATATGTGGAAATTACTGAATCGCCACTCATTTATCGCACATAGATTCTAAACTTTGATTAGCGTAATCCCGCTCCTGTAAGATGGGTAACCCGCCCCTGGTTTCGGGATTTTGAGCCTACAGTTGAATGTCGAAGACAATCAAGGAATTAGGTGTCGTAACTTAATTTTGACTACAGTTTTTACCACCCCCCGTGACTGCTTCATTCACGGAGAAAAATGTTAGTAACAAACAAGAAGTCAGTACATACATCAAACGAATCGGTAATTTCCACATATTAAAATAAAATGATCAAAACTTATATGAATGTAACTTCAGGGACAAAACCAAGTACCTAATCAACTTCAATAAACATAAATTAAGCAAGCATTACACCAAAAACGTAAACAATTACAAACAATGGCATAACGGTATCATAGATGTGATTCTGTATTGCGGTTAAACCAAGTAAATTTCAAAAACAAAGATTCAAACACACAAAAAACATAAAATGCGGCATACAAAACACAAATACGAGATAAAGAAATGCAAAAATTACTACCTGCATTAAATATCACAAAATAACAACAAACATTTATGGAGCGACGCGTCCACGACCGCCATTCAAGACAAGATCCCAAACGTAATCCCCCGTTCGTGCTTTTTAGATGGCACAGGCAGCTTTTTCCCACCTAGAAATTGCATGGTTGCCAGCTCTCAAAAATGTATGTAACGTCGAAGATGTATACCGGGTGGTGCCTAGCGCGACGCAGCATAGGGATTTCAATGGTAATATCTTTATAGTCAATTACTAGCTCCCCTAATTATTTTAGAGCAAAAGTCTAAATAGGTTTTTTTAGAGAAAAAATACTGCACCTGTTCATATGATCACTCATAATTTTCCGTTTTTCAAAACTGTAGAAATCGACAAAATAAAAAATTACATTTTTATAAATCAGTGTTGCTTTGGAATCTTTTAACAAACTACAAGCGCATCGCATCTAAGTTATCGTTGTTTAACGTCGAACGATTTTCATATTTAATTCTGTTTCAAATAACCGACGCCAGAAAAAGCATCTATGGAGTAATCTTTTATTAGAAAATGCATATTTGTTTATCATTTTCCGGAACCAGGGTACATAATCGAAGAAAAAGAAATAGATTTGAGGAAGAATTGTTCTTAAACTTATATTCGGATTTTCCGCTACTGCAGCCAAAACGTTGAATGTATTGTTGTTTTGCTGATGGTTTTGACGGACATTTTGAACGTTATTGCACTTGCAGAGATTTAACACTGTTCCTGTTCCTTGAAACTTGCCAACAATTCTGTCCACTGTGGTACTGCTTGGAATCCGTCGATTGGGGTACTTCACAGTAAATAAAGACGTTACTGGGCGGCCATAAAACAGCTTTAACATTTCCTCTTTCTCTTCAGTTAAATACATGATAAACAATTTATAATTAACTAATTTATAAACAAGTATAAATTTAATATACGTCAAAGGCAAATAATGAAACGTTGCCGCTGTTTTTAGGTAATTCCAAGGCATATCTGATTTATTGTAAAATGTACCTTTTTATTTTGTCGATTTCTACGGTTTTGAAAATCGGAAAATTATGAGTAATAGTATGAATAGATGCAGTATTTTTTTCTCTGAAAAATACATATTTAGACTTTTGCTCTAAAATAATTAGGGGAGCTAGTAATTGACTATAAAGAAATTAGCATTGAAATTCCTATGCTGCGTCGCGCTAGGCACCACCCTGTATACAGGGTGGAACCTCTCAAAGGTAATTTATTTATTTATTGTCCCTCTTGTTCTAGGCCCTCAACAGGCTTACGCCCAATTACAGAGTGACCCGCATAATGCTTTTTAGAGGTGCCCCTGCAGAAAGTCTTAAGTTGTTCTATACTACTCCGGTATTTACCTTACGAATTAGGAAAACTGCAGGAAAACCTAATTCGGATCTCCAATTGAGTGCTCGCCCGTGGTTCAATAATGATGATGAGTTGTGTGAAGTCAGAGAGTTGTACTGATCGTAACCCAACCCCAGGTTCGTAGCTAATATGACAGATAGTAAGGCAAAGTGGCAACGTTGAAATCCCAGGATCAGGCCCTGCTTAAATTTAAAAACAAAAGAATGGCGCATGATCGGATCGTCTAAGATAGGCCTCCGTTACGTTATACGAAGACAATACAATGGTTAGGAACACTCAAATAAAACGCTGTAATGAATTTGGATGGTGTATATTAAGAGCAAAGCAAATAAAACTCAAAGGTAAAAGCATACTGCGAAGGGAAAAAGAGCACGACTAGAGAAAAACATTGACATTGAATATGAGCCAAATTATGCTAATCAAAAGCAAATAAAAAAAACATAAAGCACATAAGCAGAACATTTAACACTGGATTAATGTATGGGCGTAGTCAAGTAGTAGAAAACGTTTGAAAGATGTTTGTAAAATATTCGTCACATTAATCCATTAATCTCCTCATGTCTCCAGAATTTCCCACTACTTGACTGATTCAATCCGACAACGAAATATACAGAGTATTGGAAGAGATATGGATACATCTCAAAATGGTGACTGACTGGGTCCTGGTAGTTGAGATACCTGAACCGAGTAGAAAGTAAAATGGTAGCAGTGGTTTCTTGTTCTAATGTCTGTCTAAGGTCACAGCAAGAGAGATTTTATTATTACACAAAGTATACACATTACAGACAATAATCACTGACATTTTATTTTTAAAAAATGTAAATTACAAAATTCTACTTAATTCAAAAAACTTGTGCCTTAAAAATAAAATAGTACATTATATATCAAGGTAGAGAAGTCCACTATTATTGCCTGAGCACCAAGATTACATCTCGAGGCGCTTGCGCCGAGGGGTGTAAGGTGCGAAGGCAATAATAGACTTCTCTACCGTGGTATATATACTATTTTTTTCACTACTAGCACTTTAAATCCTCTAAATTAACATATTATATTGATAAGAGAGTTAACGGTTGGACAGAATTGTTTGTTTCTTAATTTAACATGTCAATCAAGTACGTGGAAGTACAAGTCAAACAGGCCGTATTTTGTTCTGTCATTGAGATTTTTCAAAGAGTAATTTCGTTCGAATTTTTTCAAAATGTGATAATTTTAGGTATGTAATTTCTCTGGAAATTGCGAATGGTGGCAATTATTCGTTTTAGAGAACTTGTCTAAACGTTCATTGAGCGAAATTTCGGGTTGTGTTTTCTAAAAGTGACAGCGTGACAGTTCTCATTATTGACTACTAGTTAATAATAAAAAATTATTAACCACTTTGAACAAATGCCGAGAAAGCCTACTTTACAAGTGGAAAAAAGGTTAATAATCATGTCATCAGACGCTAGTAGTGAAAAAAAATAATTTTAGTATTGTATAGTACAGTCGTTACCATTTATAGTGTTTAGAGACGTAATGTATTAAACTATGTCGTTTAAAAGTCCTTTTGCGATGTGTGGAATAATTACAAATGTCACACCTTGGAAACGTGTGTTAAGAAATGTTGTTTGAAATAACTGTTGTTTTATCACATTTAAAATATTTAGAAACATTGTGTCTTAATAGATGTCGCCTCAATGCAGCTTTAAAATTTGTGGCATAATTACAAATTTCACATTTAAAATGTTTTAAAGCTTTGTGTGATAACAGATGTTGTTTAATATTCGATTTAAAGTTTGTGGCATAATTACAAAGGTTACATTTAAAATCCTTAGAGCTGTTGTGTATTATGAGATGTTGTTGTAAACCGCCTTTACGTTTTGTGGAAAAATCACAAATGTTACATTGAAAGTCTTTAGCCACGTTGTGTATTAAAAGATGTCGAATTAAACTGCCTCTATGTTTTGTCACAAACTCACAATCGTTACATTTAAAATCTTTAGACGCCTTGTGTGACAAGAGGTGTTGTTTAAAATACTGTTTAATGTTGGTCGCATAATCGCAAATGTGACATAGAAGTTTTTTATCGATAGTGTGTGTTAAGCGATGTTGCTTCAAAGCGCTGTTACGATTTGTGGCATAATCACAAATATCACATTTAAAATCTCTAAGATCGTAATGCGTTAACAGATGCCGTTTTAAAGCAGATTTATGGTTAGTGGCATAATCACAACTTTCACATTTAAAATCTTTAAACATTTTGTGTTTCAAGTGATGTTTTTTAAGATTACTCTTTGTATTCGTTGCGAAATCACAAACGTCACATTTAAAACATTTGAGAATGTCTTTTATTAAAAGTCTCTTACTATTTGTAGCATAACTACAGTTGCTACTATCATCTTCTGCATCAGATGTAGTCTCATTGTATTCTTCTTTTATAGTTGTCAAATCGTCATTGCTTAAAAAAATGTGTTCGTCAAGGGATGCATTCAGCTCTTCTTCTTGTTTTGGTTCAATTTTAACAAGTGCATTACAGTCATCCATGGCTATCTATAATAGTCTTCAAATTATATGACCATACACAAAGGACTTAAGTACCTTAAATGGATGCAATGCAATTCCAAGAGTTGCCAAATATTCACTGTCTCATTTATACGTCTCAATCATTTAAATGGAGAATGCACCCGCTACATAATGGTTTACGGTTCATTGCGGTTTCAAAAATATGAGACACTGCCGAAAGCGAGAGTGGAGAGCTTTTGGTTTTACAAAAAATGTAATGTTTAACAAACATAACCACAAAATTCATTATACCATAGACCTATATACAGGGTGTAAAATGAGTAGAATAACATAACTGCTATCTTTGTTGTGTAGTATTTGATTCTAATCTAATGGAATCACTTGATTTTGTAATTTTTTTCTCTATCGAGTGACGTAAAAATCCAATATGGCGTCAATTTAAAGTAAGGAAGTTGATGTCTCGCAAAATGCTTTTCCACACCCATTGAATTTATTCCATCGAATTTTGCAACTTTTATTTGAAACTTTTTTCGATAGCTAAAAATTGGCGACGTTCACTTTTTTCCAATTATGTACGAGACGACTTATTTTTTTCAAAAGGTCGCATCGGAATATCTATCAGCATCAAAAACTACACAACTTTTCCAATGTTTGTTTAATAATAACAAAGATTGAAGACACCCTGTATATCGAAAGAACAACAAACTTAAAACTACTGCGACATCTTACGTGTAGTTGAGGAACTTCGGTATAACTATTTTTATAGCGTTGGTAAAGTCTTGTGGTACATTCACAATTTAAATGGAACTGGAACATACATCGAAAACTGGCATCCTTTGGAAGTCCGGTCAGTGGTGAAAGTAATTTGCACTACATCCAGTTGTATGTGCATGGTCACATGATTTAACAATTTTTTTTAGAGAGCCATGGATGACTGTATTGTTGCTGTTAAAATTGAACCAAAACAAGAAAAAGAGTTAAATGCATCCCTGGTAGAACACATTTTTGTAAGCAATGACGGTTTGAGGTTGATGACGATAAAAGAAGAACACAGAGAGACTGCATCTGGTGCAGAACGTGGTAGCGATGTTGTCCACTGCGATTATGCTACAAATAGTAAGAGAGTTGTAACAAAGAAAATTTTTTTTAAAGATTTTAAATGTAACCTTTGCGATTACGCAACAAATGTAGGGAAATATCTTACAAAACATCTTGCAAAACACAAAATGTTTAACAATTTTAAATGTGAAATTTGTGATTATGCCACAAAACGTAAAGACTCTTTGAGGCAACACCTATTAATAACTCACAGTGTCTCAAAAGAGTTTAAATGTGACATTTGTGATTATGCTACAAAACGTAAAGCCTGTTTGAAACAACATCTATTAACGCACAGTGTCACAAAAGAATTTAAATGTGCCATTTGTCATTACGCCGCTACACGTAAACGCTGTTTGAAACGTCATCTGTTAACGCACAATGTCTCGAACGATTTGAAATGTGACATTTGTGATTATGCTACAAAACATAAGGACTATTTGAGAGGTCATTTATTAACGCACAATGACGCGAAAAAGTTCATATGTGACATTTGTGATTATGCTACAACACTTAAAGGGAATTTGAAACATCATCTATTAACGCACAATGTCGCAAAGGCGTTTAAATGTGACATTTGTGATTATGCCACAAAACGTAAAGACTATTTGAAACAACATCAATTATTGCACAATGGCGCAATAAACTTTAAATGTGACATTTGTGATTATGGCACAAAATTTAAAGGGAATTTGAAACAACATCTATTAACACATAATGACGCAAAACCATTTAAATGTGACATTTGCGATTATGCCGCACAACGTAAAGAGCATTTGAAACGTCATCTGTCAACGCACAATGACGCAAAGGAGTTTAAATGTGACATTTGTGATTATGCCACAAAACGTAATGAACATTTGAAACAACATTTATTAACGCACAATGACGCTAAGGAGTTTAAATGTGACATTTGTGATTTTGCCACAAAACGTAAATGCAATCTGAAACGACATTTAGTAACTCACAATGTACAAACTAAAAGACATTGAAATGATAGTAACAAATAAAATAAATGTTAAATTTCGTTTATTTTCAAACCTCGATAACCCGAACACGATTGGATCTATTTCAAGTCCAACGACTTACGACGCCCAATAGTGGAAAGTTGTCCAAAAACTATACTATTCTGGGGAGAACTAGGACAATCACTACTGCCTGTTACATTTGAATTCGAACTAAGAAGAGCTTCAGAATAGATCTCGGGACCACACTTATTTCCTTATCATCATTTTTTGTATATGAACAATGTGATTATTCGTATCTGCAATATAAACAAATTAACAATCCAACGAAGTAACTCTTGAATTTGAATAATGTAAATCTGACAATTTGATACGCTAAAAAATGGCCATCTCAAAGCAACTCCACTCCTTTCCCATTTGTGAAAAAGCCATTAAGAAGTCTCTTATATAAAGTATATGAAATACCTGCATTGTTAATTAGCTGGACCTTTTTCAGTCCGGAAGGTATCTGAAGATTTTGGGTGCGGTAACCTTAGACCAAAGTTGTGTCTCGAGTCGCTAAGTATCCCGTATCTACCTCTGCACGGGCAGGTAACATTAATTACAATAAGTAATTTCAATTTAAACCATGTGCATTACCATTTTGAAATGTCAAATGGCAGAAATGTTACACAAACGTCAGGCTTTAGGCATTCGATCACGTGCAATTCTATGATTTCAAATTTTGTCGGTGCAATCTTAACAAGTTAAGCAAGAAACATGAGATGGCAACATTGGAACACTGTCAAACAACGCTTGTAGCACAGTTTAGTTTGTGTTTGTACGTTGTACCAACATATTTGATTTTAAGTTATGATTTCCAACCACCACTTTAAACCCCAACTGTTTCTCATATTTTTGCCAATGTGGCAGTAACAGCTGGTTAGGTATTTTGGTACATTCACAATTTCAATCGTTAAGAAGTATAAATCAAAGATACATTGTAAACTGGATTCTTTTGGAAGTCCTGTCAGTTGTGAAGGTAATTGCATTTGAGGTAAGTCCAATATATGTATGGTCACATGATCTAAAAATTTTGAGACAGCTATGGATGTCTGTATCGCACTTGTTAAAATTGAACCAAAACAAGAAGAAGAAGTAAATGTATCGCTTGAAGAAAACATTTTTGTAAGCAATGATGGTTTGGCAACGATAAAGGAAGAACACTATGAGACTACATCTGGCGGTAGCAACTGTGATTATGCTACAACTAGTAAGAGAGTTTCAACGAAGCTCTTTCTCAAACATAAAATTTCTAAAGAATTTAAATGTGACCTTTGTGATTACGCAACACATGTTAAAATATCTCTTAAAAAACATCTTGTAAAACACAAAATGTGTAAAGAGTTCAGTTGTGACATTTGCGATTATGTCACAAAACGTCAAAGCCATTTGAAACGACATCTAGTAACACACAATGTTGCGAAAGACTTTAAATGTGACATTTGTGATTATGCAACAGGTTCAAAGGATAATCTTAAAAAACATCTCGTAAAACACAAAGTTTGTAAAGATTTCAATTGTGAAACTTGTGATTATGTTACAAAACGGAAAGACGACTTGAAACGACATCTTGTAACACACACTGTCGTGAAAGAGTTTAAATGTGACATTTGCGATTATCCCACAAAACGTAAATACGATTTGAAACGACATCTATTAACACACAATGTCACAAAGATGTTCAAATGTAACATTTGTAATTATGCCACAAATCTTAAAGGGCCTTTGAAACGACATCTATTAACGCACAATGTTGCAAAAGACTTTAAATGTGACATTTGTGATTATGCAACAAGTGTAAAAGATAATCTTACACGACATCTCGTAAAACACAAAATTTGTAAAGATTTCAATTGTGAAACTTGTGATTCTGTTACAAAACGAAAAGACGACTTGAAACGACATCTTTTCACGCACAATGTTGCAAAAGACTTTAAATGTGACATTTGTGATATTGCTACGAATAGTAAGCAGAATGTAAGAAGTCATCTATTATCACACAAAGACTTAATTAAATGAAAATATTCGGTTCCTACATATTTGGTATATATTTTTCTGTGAATTTGGAATTGAAATAAAGTTTTTTAAATCACTATTTTGTGTTTTACATTTTTAAAAATGAAGGTTGTAGGGCGACACCATATATAGTACATGATGCTTTCCATACAAAATGGTGGTCACGGATAAGGGGCACTGTAGTCGTGGGTATGTGTTACAGTGCCAGACAGTGTCGACAATAGGAACTGAGCCGCAATGTGGAATCAATAATTCAAATTAGAAGGTACACAACACAAACTGCAGCAACCGCACTCGCAGTACGACCGTCATGCGGCCATGTGTTGGAAATGTGTCGTTTTTTTTATCTATTGGGCGACACACCGCCGTGCTACGCGGCGCGGACATGTATGTTCAGGCCTTAATAGGTGTGTGAAGTCATAAAAGCGGCGAAAAAAGTGCGGCCGTCGAAGCGGTAGGAAATACTGTAAGGTCTGAAGGTGACGTGGCAATGGATGATTTTGATCTCGCTCTAAAAATTAGTCTCTCTGAAAGAATAAACTCGGAGAAAGTGAATCTAGTATATTTAAAAATTAGGATATTCTTTCAACTGCATATTCTAAATATTTTCATGTGTCCTGACAAAGTCGATCAGAATAGCATCGTGTTCAGCAGTCTACACTTCTTCCGAACACGTTTGTAGATCTACTAATGGAACGGAATTCAAATTATTGTTCAAAAGTAACCTCAACATTGAGATGATCAATTTCAAATTTTAAAGGACCAGTACCGTTGGCGTATAAAGAGACACCGTTCAAACGACCAGTATCGTTGGCATATATAGAGACACCGTACAAAACAATGGTGGTTCCTGTAACAATATAACAATTTATTATTGTTGTTTTAATTGCTGTCGTTCACACTCTAATGTGTGTGCATAAAATTATATTAAAATGTAAATTATACTCCCAGAATCTGAACCATGACTGGCCGTAAACGTTCAATAATTAAAACAGACGAGAGCAAAAGGGCTAGAGTGGATCCATCTATTGCTCAAGTAGATACTCCTCGTAGAACTAGGTCCTCAAGTCGCACAGCAGCTCAGAACAGAAATTCACCTCCAGACGAAACAGCTCATCCTGAATTCTCGCAGTTCATCCCAGCAGCTCAGTACAATGAAAGCAGCCGTACACTTCCTTTACATATGGAACCTCGTAACACCACCGTATGTGTTTAATACTCCTTTTTTTACGTATAGTATCACTTTAGATGAGTAATGATTTTTTTTCTTGCTTTCTCAGAGCCCCAGATGCATAATGAACGCCAGTACATCAGAGTTTGGAAAGGTGATAAAGCAGCGTGGTTTTATCGACAAATCACTTCTCCTCAACCTGGTTCTACCACAAAACCAAGAAGAAGGAGCAGAAATATTCATTGTAACAGAACCAAGGAGATTTGGTAAATCCACCATACTCAGTATGGTAATAACCTGCCTTGATATGCAACCGACGCCCTTGCGGAATACAGAAGAGTTCAGGAGGCTGAAGATTATGGATGACCAGTATGCTGCTAAAAGAGACCAGTATTTTGGTAAATGCCCCATTATTTTCTTGAATCTTCTGTGTACAGCAACTTTTACTGATCAAGCTGCTGCTTTGCAATTTGTTAAAAGTCGCATTCATGAAGCTTACAAAACACATAAATATCTATATAAAGACGAAAGCAGTGATGCTCTGGAAGCAGATGAAAAAGAACTTTGTAAACATTGGTGTGAAAGAAAATACCGTCAATTAATTGATAATAGTGAAGTGAACGAAGGGCTGAAAAAATTGTCAGAGTATCTGGAGAGGTACCACGGAAGAAAACCTTACTTGTTGATCGATGAGTACGACAACATGATCTCCAAATCACTCAGTGATAAAACTGGTCATCAATTTGAAATTGCCATGGAAATCTTCCATAACCTGATGACTGAGATCCTTAAGGATAATCCTCATTTGGAAGGAGCGTTAGTTACTGGGATATTACCAATACACGGTAAATCACAATCGCCTTTCAACAATGCTTTTCGATCCACGTTTTTAGATGGAAGTCATTTCAACAAATTTTACGGGTTGACAACACTGGATCTTAATGATCTCGAAACAAATCTTCAAAATGGAACCCCGAGCATTTCTGTTTCTGATGAGGAATTAGAAATAATAAAATCAGCATATAATGGTTATTTTTCCAGAGAGGGGCTCAATGTCTACGGAATCTGGTCAGTTGAAAAATACATCGCAAAAGGGAAGCTGGAAGCCGAGACATTTTGGGTTGACAGTGGTTATGTAACCAACTTCAAGGTTGCTTTCAAAAGCTATTCATTGAAAAATGTGTTAGAAAGTTTGCTGAGAGGTGATCACATTGCTCTCGATGTCATGCAAGTGTTCTCAGAAGAGGATCTTCTTATTTTAGCTACCATGAAGACTGAACCAGCTGATGTTTCTGAAGAACTGTTCCTCAGTTTTTTGTTTCACCAGGGCTACTTATCATACGTGGATGAAACACCAACACATATAAAAATACCAAATACAGAAATAAAAACAATGTTTGTTTCCAAAATAACAGAGTTCTATAAAACCTCTTTAACTAAGGAGTTCTTATCAGCTGCAGCAAAAGAAAGCCCCATCATATTTCAAGTCCTACAAAATGGTGTGTATGGAAGTGATAGTGTGTTTGAGGAATCTGTAGGGAATGCGAAGAAGAAGCTTCAAATGCTGTTTGAAAAATTCTCTGCAATTTGCATTAAAATGAATGAGCCATTCATCCACATCTTCATGGGTCAGATTGTAGCTCATGCAGGCAATTATGTATTAGGTCCTGAAATATATGTTGAGAGAAAACGAAACACCAAAGCTAGATTGGATCATGTTGTAGTTGAAACAACTGAAAAGAAATTTGCTGTTATATTTGAGTATCAGCATGATAAGGGCCAATTTTCAAATGGTTACCATACCAATGCACATGGTTCACTAAAGAAATGTATTGTCAAGAATTACAGTAATGTTTTTAACAATTCTGAGCTTTATCCACCAAGTCTGTACAATATTGAACAGTTTATTCTAGCTGGTGTTAGCATCAATGATATGAAGAAAGTATCGTTGAAATGTATTAGGAAAGGTATGGATTTGTCTAGGGCTGTGTTCATGGATTATGAGATTTAAAAATTGCAATTATTTTGTGATAACACTGCTTCCTCTTCAACCTGGATGTGCTAGTGCTAAGAATGTCCCACATTTTTTTTATCATAGATTTTTAGTACCTACAGTATTCTAATTTTGTCTCATCACCGTTTGACCATTTCGTCATGGTGTTTTTTGTATTTTATGTTTATGTAATCTGACAATAAAGAACGTAAATGTAAATTTTAATTTCAAAATAGTTATATTCGGCCCTATGCTGTATCACTATCGTTAAGAATAACGATATCGTTATGCGGCGTTACCATAATTTTTTAAAAATCGGTATGCTGTATCACTCATAAAAAGAGTGGGATAACGACTATCGTAATTCTCTATCGTTATTTTGCAAACATAAGCAGAGAAACTTAACGGCAGGGTGCATGCTATCCGTTTGGCGCGTAACGGTCCTGTCATCGATTCGTTCGGAGTTTAAGGGGATGTTAAAGAGAAAGAAAATGAATAATTGCAAGGATTTTTGCAAGTAGCTTTGTTCGGGCAATTGGAAAATGTAATAGGGAGGTGAGTTCTGTGCCTTTTAATACTCGTAGATTATGTTTTTATTGAGACATGAGGAAAACATCCAACGAAGAATTTTACGAGACAACAGTGATCCGTTTCAGCTGGGTGAAATTGATTTTCAAAAAAATTTTCGTTTACCAAGAGAATCTGAATGTACAAATGGTAAGGACTAACAGCAGCATGTTTCAATGAAAATTTGTTTAACATGCAGATTTGTGATGCGAACATAAAAATCCTGAATTGTAATGCACGGTTTCCAGGATCTACTCACGACTCTGCAATATGGGATATGAGTGCGGTGAAAAGGCACCTGGAAGAAAAGTATTTAACCAATGAGTTACATTCATCTTGGTTAATTGGTGAGTGTGGCTGTTGTGACCTAACAATTTTGCCCTTTTACAAACTTGTATAGGTGATTCAGGATATGCACTGCAGCCATGGTTGTTAACGCCAATAGAAAATGCAGAGGCAGACCCACTTTCACCACAGGGAAGATACACTACACAACACATTTTAGCCAAGAATGTAATAGAACGCTGTTTTGGAGTGTTGAAGCAAAGGTTTAGATGCCTCTTGAAGTACAGAGTTCTTCATTACTCCCCTGACAGATTTGCGAAAATTGTGTGGTGCTGTGCATTGTGCAATACTCCATAATATTGCGATACAGGAGAACTTACCACCACTCGAGGATAATGAAGGTGATGTAGATATACCTCCACAGAATATGAGAGAAAATGAAGGTATTTGTACCTAATCCTCTAAAAAAAAACAAACTGTTGTATGGCCTCTTATTATTCTCTTCGACATTCGCCATGTCGTGAAAAACCAACTAGGTAGGTACATTTACAATTAATAATAATAATTTTAAAGAAACGTCTGCATTTCCAAATCTGGCGGGTATTTGTTTTAAGATTAAGCGCCCTCTTATATTTGATCGCTGTGGTATTTCACTCTTACACGCACTGCCGTTGCGCAGCGTTCCTTGTTTTCTAGAATGCGACACTTTTTTCCGAAATAGCCACTGCGAGATACCGGACAACGTAACGATACCGTTAAAATATTGATACAGCATATCGCGTTTATCGATAGTCGTTGTGGTCATCATAACCTTTGATCGTTAATCTGCGATAACGATTGATCGTATAGAATAACGAGAGTGATACAGCATAGGGTTGATTATCATAGAAAAAGTAATGTTTTTGTGGTATAAAATTTCGTTTACAGGGGTACATTTACCTAGAATTTTGATGGGTTTTTAGCTTTAGCAAGAGTAGTGTCGTTTTGCATTTTCATATTTCACATTATTATTCAAATTCGTATAAATTTTAGTGTGGGGATCTAGTTTTTTTGCTATTTTTTTAGGTACATATACGTCGATTTTAACATTTTATGTACCGCATTATTGATAAAATTAATTATATTGTGATCTCCAAACTCAGACACTCGCAAAATACTTAAAGACTTTATTAAAACCAACCATTGAAAAATACTACATACTACAAAAACGTCATAGACGCCAGTCTTATTCTTAATAACAACGTGAACTTCTCTTATATATATATGGTACTTATCTACTTACATGTCAACCTTCACATTTCAAAACAGTGTTGCCACTTTTTCCTATAAATTCTATACAGCGCTGTTGCCAACAAACCTCTTACAATATGGAGTTTTTTACTGGAAAAATGAAAAATATTGCGTGTGGGGACCGAAGACAAGCGCGTTAGCACGATTTACCGTAAGAAATAAGATTTGGGCATTTCCTACGTACCGTAACCGTTCTAACGCAACGTTAACGCGAATTATAAATGTTCACGTGCAACAAGTAGGGTTTAATTCCAAACGTTACGGTACGGTGTTGCTGGTACGGAACTATAAATTCAGCTTTAGCTTTTTAGCCATTTAGCAGTTCATTGGTTCCTTATGTGTTTGAGTTTACAACATCGAAAATTATTATATGCTCTGTATATGCCAACGGTATTTGTCGTATGAAAGGCGTCTCTACTCTATATACGCCAACGCTACCCGGCCGTTTAAAATTTGAAAACAAACGTAAGCAGTCGTCAAAATTGTTACGTAATATGTATCCTACTGGTTGGTATATTATTATAGTAGCTATATATCCTACAGAAAGGAATAAATTTATATTACGATGCTCTGTTTACGCGCGACGATAAATCGTAACAATTCGCCAGTTACGATTAATTGCTAGAATATCGCAGCTCTTTAACACAAGTATTGCATGAAATATGAGATGGCAACATTGGAATACAAAAGATTTTATTTGTTGAGGTTATCAAGTACAACCACCAACAAATCCTTGTAATTTACTGTTTCTCATATATTTTTTTGTAATACACCAGCCTGAAGTTACATTCGCTTTTTTTTTTAAGGACATTCGCTTTTGGGGTAGTACCAACCTAAACGGGAAAACAAAAAATAACTAGGACCGGGCTGAAGTTACATTCGTTTTTTTTTTTGTTTTTTTTTTATCAATGGCCATCGAAAGTGATGGCACCGGGACCAATTCTCATCCCCTTTTCGGAAAATAGCCCTAAACCCCCGACAAATTCGTCCCCGAAGTTGACAAATTCCGCAAGTGTGTGAATGAGTGAGTTTTGCACGCGGAGGATAACGACGCCGTGGAGGCCCAAGGGCCCACCTAAAACCCCCTACCTGTAGTTTTTCGAAAAGTGCCCCACAGTTCGAGAAATTCCCTTTTGTTTGGTCAATGGCGCGGTATACGAATAATGCAAGTTGCAATTCAAAATTGATTTATTAAAATTGAGCGAGTTTTGCACGCGGAGGATAAGTACACCGTGGAGGCCCAAGGGCCCACCTAAAACCCTCTACCTATCGTTTCATACGATCAGCGGTTCTTATTATCTTAGAAATTTAGATTTGTGGCCCTGAAAAGGGCCGTTTTTTATCAGCAGAACGCCGGCCGGCTAAGCCTTTATGGCACGTCTTATCTCGCGTTCCATGGCGCGCAACCCTAATACGTTGGGATGGATTCCGTCCGTGTCAAACCAATGGATGCCTGGCCGATGGAAAATTCGGTTTAGGTCAGCAAGAACTAGACCCTGTTTTTCAGCTAGAGCTGTAACAGCTTTGTTGATGGCGGCAACGTTGTGGTCACTTCTGGTTGTGCGTCTATTGGGTGGAATTGTGCACAAGACGATTCTTACGGACGGTTTCATCCGCTTGAAGTCCCGGATCAGCCACTTCAGCGTTCTTCTAAATTTCGGTTCGTGGAACTCCTTCCTCGCTGCGTCATTGGTCCCTATCATAATGACAGCGGTGTTCACGTCGCTGGGGATACTCCACACGCTTCCTTTTGCAGCTGAAGAACTCAAACGGCGCCTTAATTGATCAATTGTCTGCCCACCTACACACAATTCCGCACACCACTTTCCTTCTTCATTTTTGAAAGAGTTGATCTCACTCACTTTGCAGAGCATCCTTCGCAATATGCTGTCCCCCAGGTGAAACGTCATGATCAACTATCTCTCATCAACTGTTTCCAACGACTGGTTGTAGGTCCAAAATAAATTAATTTGAGATATAATGACAGGGTCAGGGTCATTAGGTAATGGTGTCAATTATTATTTCAAGTACCTACCTATTATAAATAAATCTACCTTTATTTTCGAATATGTAGATATTATGCAGATAAATAGGAAAGTAATGAGAGCATTAGTATTGTTTCCGCTAATGATACCTTTAATGAATATACACCAATTAAGCTCAAATGCAAAACTGCATAAACAATTGGAATGTGTAATTTCCATATCAGTAATTAAGTAGGTACGGTACTTGAAATAATAATTGACACCATTACCTAATGACCCTGACTCTGTCATTATATCGCAAATTAATTTATTTTGGACCTACAACCAGTCGTTGGAAACAGTTGATGAGAGATAGTTGATCATGACGTTTCACCTGGGGGACAGCATATTGCGAAGGATGCTCTGCAAAGTGAGTGAGATCAACTCTTTCAAAAATGAAGAAGGAAAGTGGTGTGCGGAATTGTGTGTAGGTGGGCAGACAATTGATCAATTAAGGCGCCGTTTGAGTTCTTCAGCTGCAAAAGGAAGCGTGTGGAGTATCCCCAGCGACGTGAACACCGCTGTCATTATGATAGGGACCAATGACGCAGCGAGGAAGGAGTTCCACGAACCGAAATTTAGAAGAACGCTGAAGTGGCTGATCCGGGACTTCAAGCGGATGAAACCGTCCGTAAGAATCGTCTTGTGCACAATTCCACCCAATAGACGCACAACCAGAAGTGACCACAACGTTGCCGCCATCAACAAAGCTGTTACAGCTCTAGCTGAAAAACAGGGTCTAGTTCTTGCTGACCTAAACCGAATTTTCCATCGGCCAGGCATCCATTGGTTTGACACGGACGGAATCCATCCCAACGTATTAGGGTTGCGCGCCATGGAACGCGAGATAAGACGTGCCATAAAGGCTTAGCCGGCCGGCGTTCTGCTGATAAAAAACGGCCCTTTACAGGGCCACAAATCTAAATTTCTAAGATAATAAGAACCGCTGATCGTATGAAACGATAGGTAGAGGGTTTTAGGTGGGCCCTTGGGCCTCCACGGCGTCCTTATCCTCCGCGTGCAAAACTCGCTCAATTTTAATAAATCAATTTTGAATTGCAACTTGCATTATTCGTATACCGCGCCATTGACCAAACAAAAGGGAATTTCTCGAACTGTGGGGCACTTTTCGAAAAACTACAGGTAGGGGGTTTTAGGTGGGCCCTTGGGCCTCCACGGCGTCGTTATCCTCCGCGTGCAAAACTCACTCATTCACACACTTGCGGAATTTGTCAACTTCGGGGACGAATTTGTCGGGGGTTTAGGGCTATTTTCCGAAAAGGGGATGAGAATTGGTCCCGGTGCCATCACTTTCGATGGCCATTGATAAAAAAAAAACAAAAAAAAAAACGAATGTAACTTCAGCCCGGTCCTAGTTATTTTTTGTTTTCCCGTTTAGGTTGGTACTACCCCAAAAGCGAATGTCCTTAAAAAAAAAAGCGAATGTAACTTCAGGCTGGTGTCAATTGTAATAGTAACTGCATCAATTTGAGGTAAGTCCTATTTGCCATGGTCATACAATTTAAACATGTTTCTAGATAGCCATGGATAACTGTATTGCCATTGTTAAAATTGAACCAAAACGAGAAGAAGATATAAATTTATACCTCGCAGAAGACAAGTTTGTAAGCAATGTTGGTTTGACAACGATAAAAGAAGAATATGATGAGACTGCATCTGGTGGAGCAGCTGGTAACTGTGATTATGCTACAACTAGTAAGAGAGTTTTAACAAAGCACTTTCTTAAACATAAATTTTATAAAGATTTGAAATGTGACCTGTGTGATTACACAACAAATGTGAAGGTATATCTTAAAAAACATCTTGTAAAACACACTACGGTTAACAATTTTAAATGTGAAATTTGTGATTATGCGACAAAGCGGAAAGACAATTTGAGACAACATCTCTTGACACACAATGTCTCAAAAAAGTTGAAATGTAGCATTTGTGATTATGCCACAAATCTTAAAGGGCCTTTGAAACGACATTTATTAACGCACAATGATGCAAAAGACTTTAAATGTGACATTTGTGATTATGCAACAAGTGTAAAGGATAATCTTAAAAAACATCTCGTGAAACACAAAATGTGTAAAGAGTTCAATTGTGAAACCTGTGATTACGCGACAAAACGTAAAAACGATTTGAAACGACATCATTTAACACACAATCTCGGAAAAGAGTTCAAATGTAGCATTTGCGATTATGCGACAAAACGTAAAGACCATTTGAAACAACATGTATTATTACACAATGTCGCAAAACATTTTAAATGTGACATTTGTGATTATGAGACTAAACGTAAAGAAAATTTGGCCCAACATCTCTTAACGCACAATGCCGCAAAAGAGTTCAAATGTAACATTTGTGGTTATGCAACAAAACTTAAAGGGGCCTTGAAACGGCATCTATTAACGCACACTCTTGCAAAAGACTTTAAATGTGACTTTTGTGAATATGCGACGAGTGTAAACGATAATCTTAGAAGACATCTCGTAAAACACAAAATGTGTAAAGAGTTCAATTGTGAATCCTGCGATTACGCCACAAAACGTAAAGACGTTTTGAAGCGACATCTTTTATCACATGTCCCAAAAAGTGTTTAAATGTGACATTTGTGATTATGAATCTATACTAAGCGGAATGTTAGATCACACAAAAACTAATGTGAGACTAAATTGAGAGTGTTTGGTGCGTATTATTTTTCTGTGAATTTGGAATTTAAATAAAGTTTTTTGAATCACTATTTTGTGTATTGCTGTACTGATCTTAACCCACCCCAGGCTCTAAGGGAAAATGACAGATTTCACGGCAAAGTGGCAACGTTGCAATCCCAGGATCAAAACACGGTTCCCGCTCAAAATTCAAACAAAAGAATGGCAAGCGATTGGATCGTCTACGGTAGGGCCCCCTTACGTTACACGAAGCTAATACAATGACTCGGGACCCAGTCGGGCAGGAACACTCAAATAAAACACTGTAATGTCTGCGAGTTTATTTATTATAAACTTATTCTGAAAACCCGAGAATTTGGATGTGGTACATTAAAAGCAAAGCAAGCAAAACCTAAAGGTGCCGCACTTTCGCAAAAGCAGACTACCAAGGCGAAAAAGAGCGCGACTTGAGAAAAACCTTGGCCTTGAATAAAACCCAAACTATGTTAATCACAAGCAAATTAAAACACCAACCACCTAAGCAGAACATGTAACACTACCTTAATTAATGAATGAATTCGAGTAGCATGCAGGGGACGTTTGAACAGTATGCGTAGAGTATTCGTCACAACATGTCATGTACTTTTCTTTAATCGCGGCTAGAAGGCAACTCACTTTTTAGTTAATCATTGGGTGGTGAACCTGGTTATTGTTATAGTAGGGGAGCTAGCACGAAATCCACTGAACGAGAATGATCAAAATTTTAACCGATGGAGTTCCATTTTACCCTATCAGAGTATGCTAAAATCGATCGTCTGCCGCCTCAGGTCATATGACTTAAGGCGCTGCGGGTACTTCTTGCGGTACCAATTCTGAAAGGTTGTTTTTCGAGAAAATAAGTTATACACCAAATGGAAACGTTGATAATAGCTCTTAAAAAAATATTTAAAAAAATCGCGCACATTTGATAACTCCGTAAAAAAACAATTCTTAGTCGGTTTTTCACGAACTTTCTACGGATATAACTAGGTTACGATTGGACGAATGAAGCTGATTTTTTTTACAGACTGATGATAGGTACTACTAATGACTTAACGGTGTTTCGTTTTTAAATTTTTTCTCTAATTATAAGATTATCTTATTATCTTAACATTATAAGATATCTTATAATTAGGGAAAAAATTTAAAAAAGAAACACTCTCATAGTCATTATTATTATTATTATTATCCCTCTCTTGTTTTGGGCCCTCAACAGGCATGCGCCCAATTACAGAGTGACCCGCATAATGCTATTTAGAGGTGCCTCTGCAGAAGGTCTTAAGATGGTCTATACTACTCCGGTATTTACCTTACGAATTAGGAAAACTGCAGGAAAACCTAATTCGGAGTAGCCGGTAGAATACTCGGAACTGGTCTAAGGTAATTTCCATCTCCGCCACAGATGAAAAATTCACCTCAACCCAGGTTCGAACACCCGACCTTCGGATTTATAACCCAATGCTCTACCACTGAGCCATAAATCCGTCATTGTCTGTGCCCATCATTAGTCTGTAAAAAAAATCAGCTTCATTTATCCAACGGTAACCTAGTTATATCCGTAGAAAGTTCGTGAAAAACCGACTAAGAACTGTTTTTTTACGGAGTCATCAAATGTGCGCGATTTTTTTAAATATTTTTTTAAGAGCTATTATCAACGTTTTCATTTGGTGTATAACTTATTTTCTCGAAAAACAACCTTTCAGAATTGGTACCGCAAGAAGTACCCGCAGCGCCTTAAGTCGTATGACCTGAGGCGGCAGACGATCGATTTTAGCATACTCTGATAGGGCAAAATGGAACTCCATCGGTTAAAATTTTGATCATTCTCGTTCAGTGGATTTCGTGCTAGCTCCCCTACTATTAGGTTTGGGCCAGCGTCTTCGCTTGATTGCCCTCCTGTTTCACGGTTATATTTTTAGTGATCGGGCTGGCATATTTGCCTATTAACCCGTAACGCAGTTAAGATTGTTAGGGGCAACACATTCACGCGTTTATTGGTATAAGTCACCTTACTAGTTATTCATATCATTATATACCGAATAGAGTGGTGTGACGTTTGTAAAAACACGTCTGATCTATTATTTATGTTGTGACGTAACAATAGGCAGTTATGACAACACACAGTGTGCTCGTGGAGCCCCCAATTATGCGCAGTTTCCACATAATGACATTGGTATAAAACCCAGACTTCCGGAACTACTACCTGTGCTTCGTAACACTCCCCGGACATCGGTCTCGTAACGACACAAAACTGAAGGTGGTTAAGAGATGGGTCGCCGCCCATGGGCAGGATGGCCTTTGTTACAGCACTTCATCCCTAAAGTTGGAGTTTCTGAGGGCCCTCGGATCCTTTTATGCATTAGCTCTAGAACACCTTTCTATTCTAGCGTCCGAGCTCCCTCTCACGGTATAAAGATATTAGTTACATACAACAAGGCACACACATTCGCGAATGTTACGAGTCACCCTAAACTAAATAGACCTAGCATTGCATGCCCTACTTCACGGAAGTCGAGGTTCGACATAGGTTCACCCCGTGCACCGTGTACCTGAGTAAACGTGGTCTAAACCTGAGATATTGTAGACTTCCACAAGCACATGGATATTAGTTAACACCTCGCATGTTGCAAATTACATATTAGCACAATGGTAGATGGAAAATATCTGATTTAACAAATGGCACAATTCATATAAGTACATAAGATTAATGGCCGTATGCACCGAAAAAATTAAAGATGAGCTCAGCTTAAGCCTAGCTTAAAATCATTTCAACCATTGTCCCATAATCGTAACCATGGATATTAAGCTACACTTAAACTAAGCCCGTTTAAACTTTTTTGGTGCATACGGACATAAACTACATAAAATACTTTACCCGACACCAAAGTGGTTGAACTCACAAACACCAAAAACAAAGCTAAACTCTATGAATACAACTCAAAATACAATAAAGTCCACCACCAACAAACTTTAACAAACAACAAGTGATCATGTGACGCCAAGCACCCTAAAATCCCCAAACATCCTCCGGAAGCTACCAAAAAATATCGACAGGTGGTGATGGCGGTGGCTCATGTCCCCAGAATCTCCAACTACTTGACCGGTTGCATTCTAAGTTGAAATATACAGGGTATTTAAAGGGATATAGATATCTCATTACATTCTTAGAAATGAAGACTGTTGAAAATGTTAGTTGACAAACAACAAGTCAGTACGTATACATACATCAAAACAATTCGATAATTTCCACGTTGGCACGATGGCAATGAATAAAGAATACCAGGAAGGAGCATTACTTAAGTTGTATACAAGAGAGAGTGGGACGGAAGTCGGCCATTTGCAAAAGCCACTTATGACTCATTTTTGTTGTGGTTTTTGCAGTGACATAAAATAATGGTTAGTTGTTGTGCTTGTGGTTGCTCCAAAGCGGAAAAAAATAAAAGTTTGGGAATTACATTTCATGTGTCAAGTGATGATGTGACGCCAAGCACTCAAAATCCCCCGGAAGCTATCAAAAAAATATCGACAGGTGGTGATGGCGGTGGCTCATGTCCCCAGAATCTCCAACTACTTGACCGGTTGCATCCGACGTTGAAATATACAGGGTATTTAATGGGATTTAGACATCTCATGGTTGCTCCAAAACGGAAAAAAATGAAAGTTTGGGAATTACATATTGTGTAAGTATTGATACCAATATTATTTTTATATAGTAGGTACATGTAAATTTACAATTTTTTTATCGGAATGTAGTTTGAGGTTAGTTAAACAAAAGTCATAGGCGGAGTAGACACATGGGGGTTTAGATTGTTTTCGTGTAAAATTCTTTATAATTGTATCCTTCTACAACTGTAAAGTAGGTACGCCACTGGAACAGGAAACTACCATAGATAATTAAGATCTATGGAAACTACTGTCCGCCATTTGCAAAAGCAATCGCGGAACAATTGTTGATTTTCTCCTTCCGTATTTATTCATTGGCAGATGGTGACGGCAGTGGCTCGTGTCCCCAGAATCTCCAACTACTTGACTGGTTGCATCCGACAACGGAATATACAGGGTATTTGCAAGCATATGGTCATCTCACGTTACTGAAATAGTTATTTACATAAAAGTCAGGAAAATGATACATTACTGGCGAGGAAATATTGACGAGGCCCCTGTGGTGCCGAGTACTTTAATTTCCGAGTCAAGTAGTGTCATTTTAGTGACGAGTTTTGTATCAAATTTTACCCGAAATCGTATTTTAATATAAAATTTCAATTTTTATATAGTACTTTTGATTAATGTCAATTTGTCAGTGATGACAAGAGTTGATTATAGAGACAGACATCTGGAAATGTCAAAAATGCGACCGGTAAAGTGACAGGTGCCGTCAGTAATAGTTATTTACATAATAAGTCATGAAAGTGGTTGTTTACATGACGCGGAGGCTTATTGAAAAGTACGAGGAGGCGCAGCGTCCGAGTATCTCTTTAATGCCTCCAAGTCAAGTGGACTCACTTTCATGACGTATTATGCATAAAATTTTACCTGAAACCGCAACATGTAAATAACTTTTTCAAATTAAATTATTCATTATGTATGAAATTTTGATACCTAATCACGCATGCTAAAATCACTATTTAATTGTTTCCTTAGACATTTCAAAACAATTAAAACAGTCAGTGTCATTTTTAATGCAGTTTATGCTTTGTACTTTTAAACTATATACAGTCTTTATAACTAGGTACAAAAGCAGGTATCAGTGAAGAAGAGTACCTACACAAGACGTTGTTATAATGTAGCCGAAGCTGCGGCCGCCGTAGTGCAATATTCGCTCCCCACAAAGTCAAGAAAGAGGTACGAAAAGGCGTACAAACCTCTTAACGACTGGCGCAAAACTACAGGAATAATTACTTCCACACATATTCCATTAATATTGTTAGTAATCAAAAACCATTATCCTTTGTGTAGGTATAATTAATATTTAAAAATATCCACATAGTCTGCATTTTAATTATCCAATCGTTGATTGAATAAAACGAGTGGCATGAAAAAACTCACTTTTCGA